CCTTCCTTCCTTCCTTCCTTCCTTCCTTCCTTCCTTCCTTCCTTCCTTCCTCTCTTCCTTCTTTCTTTCTCTCTCTCTTTCTTTCTCTCTCTTCTTTCTTTCTTTCTCTCTCTCTCTCTTTCTTCTTTCTTTCTTCTTCTTTTTTGTGTTGTTAAAGAGAATCCTCTTCCAAGATGCTTGTTACTTGTCAATGGAGACGCTGATATCCATAACAAAATCATTCCCCAAATTAGGTACCAAACCAGAGGATCAGGGCCAACTGTTATAATAATATCTAATGTGAAAAACCAGCATAAAGTAGAATTGTTTTTCTTAAGAGCAACACTATACACATATGGTCCTTTATTATTATCATTTTAAACCTGTTTTATCCAAGTAAAGCTGGGAATGCTGACTACTTCACATGCTCCAGTGCCTGGGGGATATTAAGTGTTCAGTTGGGGAAAACTTTAATTCTTCTTAAAAAGTTATTTTTTTTACTCTCTACTTTTCCATTTGTGAAACAACTTGTGTGTGGCTCAATTATGAATTAATTAATATTGCACAGGTCCAGGGTGTTTGCTGAGTTCTCTTAGATTGGCAGCATGTCTCTCATTAGCCGTCCGTGGTGTCAGGAGGGCAGCCTCCACTCTCCCAGGCTGATTCTGTGATGCTGTGCTCTCCGGGGCCTCTCGCCTCTACCCTCCACACTCCTGCACGTGTGAGCAATGCAGGTGTCACCCCCCAAGGGGCTGTGCCCAGGGAAGGGAAGGGAGCCCTCCTAGTGTGAGTGGGGGCCACGTGCTCGCAGAGTAGGGACAGAGTGCACACTCACAGAGTGCACACTCACCCACAGGCACACACACACACACTCACACGTGCACCCTCACACACACACTCACATGCACTTGCACACTCCTGCTTGGAGGGGAGTCAGGGCTGGGGAGACAGTAGCAGAGGAGGTGGGAAAGGAGTACAGAGCCAGACCCTGGTGGATTTCGGAGATCTGATTTAATTTCAATGCAAGGGGCGTTTAGTGAAGGGCTTCAGCTAAGGCGATGTGTAATGTTACTTAGGTTTTATGAGAAGGAGAGACTGAGTCAGAGGGAGGTGAGGGAAAGTGAATCAGGAAGGGGGGAAGAGGTTGCTTTAAGAATATGGAAGGTGACAAGGGCTTGAGCACCTGCCTGCTCAGTGTGATGCGAAGGGTCCTGAGCCCCAGACTCAAACAGGATTTCTCCGCCCTGTTCTTCCCATTGTCCCTGTTGCCTGAGTCAAGCCTCTGTCGCTGCAGCAATTCCTTTGGATTAATGACGAAACGAAGGAGTGGGATGCTATTCGGTGTCTACTCATTTCCAGGTGTGAGTTTTAGGTAATTCTCACTGTGACTTTTCAGGTTAGGTTTCTCTTAGCTCTATTTTACAGATAAGAACACTTAGGCTCAGAGAAGCAAGACAGGTGCCTCAAGGTTACCTGCCAGTCGGTAGCAAAACCAGAATTGAAGCCCAAGTCTGTTAGACATCGACAATATTTTCTTTTGTCCCCATTATATCGATTGGCTAAGTTTTCTTAAGATCTCATAGCAACTCAGAGATGTGTTTTCTTACAGATAACCTATGTCATCTAAACTTATGCCATCAACTTTGTCACTAGATTAGCTAGAGAGCGAGGAGATGGAATTGGATCATAAATTGTGATGAATTGGAGGAGAGGGAACCATGCATCGGGGCGGAGGGCTCAGGAGTCGGGGCACAGCAGACCGAGGCGCATGGCACACGTGTGCCTTTTAAGCAGCAACAATTTCGACCCCTATCCTTGGAAGCCCTCGTCCCCTCCCATGCGGTGCGTGAACTCGTGTTTCCCGCCGCACGAGGTGCACCTCTGTTTCATCACCTGCCACGTTGGCATCACTGCCGCACTTGCACACATCGTGTGCACTCACTCCCACTGCAGCCCCTAAGGGCCTGTTCCGGACCCAGAGTCTGAAGCGGCGGAATTGGGGAGCCATGAGAAGCGAGCCTGCGGACACACCCCACACACCACGTGCAGATGAGGAGTTTCGACTAGAGCTGAGAAGCTAACGCGTGGCGGAACGGGAAACTCAAGGCCAACTCCGCATCCCCTGGGCAGTAAATCGGAAAAGAAATAGAGTCGTAGAGGAGGTAGAGCCTGAACTAGAATGCACTGGACAGGAACTCAGTCGCCCTAGTCACAGCAATTGCTATTCATACTCCTACTACTATTGATTTAACACAAATAATGTGCCAGACAGGATGGCGTCAATTTATACGTATTATCACTTTATATGCATTTGCACATTAATTCTCACAGCAGCCTTCTATGAAGGACATAAATTACCCCACTTTATAAAATCAAGCCTTAGGTAGAGTTTCCCAAGGCGACCGGCCTGCCAAGCCATGGCCACTGTACTTTAGGAGGCCCGGCCTCTGCGCACGCCCGGCCTCCTGACTGAGGACAGCTTGCTGCCCATAGTCTCATGTGCTTTCCGGAGAGTCTGGTTCAGCGGACAGACGTAGGGCACCGATGGGGTGGGAGGAGGGTCTGGAAGTAACGGGGTGCTTGTGAAATCTTTCTCTATCTGGGCCAGTTATTTTTAAGGTCTTGTCAGCCATCAGCAAACTTTTGGTTAAAACCAATTTACTCGTAAGGCATAAATTATAAACTTGTGTTTTAAAACTAATTACAATAAAATATGATTTCATTTTTATTTTCATTTCAGAACTTCAATTTTACAAACAATATTTCTAGGTCATTGGTCAAAAAAATCTTAATGTATCATTGTGTATGCTCAAGCTGTGAATTTTAATTTTGGTGCATAATGAAAAATTGAGTTTTTTTAGTACTTTATTTCAAATAAGACTAAACCCACCCCCTCTGAGCAGACATTTGTCACCATCTCACCCACATAAGACATTATATAATGAATCTGTTTCAAGTTATAATTAGCTTTATTTTTCTATTATAAAAGTAATAAAAGTTCATTATGAAGTTTTTATAATTAAAAAATAATGTGAAAATAACTTATAACAACACATCCCAAATAGAGTCCCTAATAACTTATTTTTAAAGACTTATTTCCAAAGCAGTTTTAGATTCACACCAAAATTTACAGTTTTTTTATACGCCACTGACCCCAAACATGCACAGCCTCACCTGTTATCAGCAACCCAAGGAAAACGGTGCATTATTACAACCGGTGAACCTAACTGATACATCATAGTCAATCACAACCTATCATTTGCTTTCCTGCTCATACATGGTACTGTGCATTCTGTGGGTTTGGAGAAATGTAATGACATATATAGACCATTAGGTTATCATGCAGGGTATTTTCACTGTCCAAAATATCAACTATGCTTTGCCTTTTCATACTTCCTCTCCAAACCGTGGCCACCAGGATCTTTTGCTGTCCCCATAATTTTGCCTTTCTCAGAATGTCATTTAGTTGGAATCATACAGCAGGTAGTCTTTTCAGACTGGCTCCTTTCACTTTGTTATAAACATTTAATTTTCCTCCATGTCTTCTTATAGCCTGGTAGTTCATTTCTTTTTAGGGGTAAGTAATATTCCATTGTCTGAACATACCACGGTTTAATTATCTACTCACCTACTGAAGGACTTCTTGGTTGCTTCCAAATTTTGGAAATTATGAATAAAGCTGCTTTAAACATTTGCTTGCAGGTTTTTGTATAGACATAGTTTTTACTCCTTTCAATAAATACTGAGGAGTGTGATTGTTGGATAATGTGATAAGAGTATATTTTGCTCTGTAAGAAACTGCCAACCTGCTGCTCCACATTCTCACTAAGTTTTGGTGTTGTCAGTGTTCCAGATATAGGCCGTTTTAGAAGGTGCGCAGTGCTATCTCATTGTTGATTTAATTTGCTTCTCCCTGATGACATACGATGTGGAGCATCATTTCATATACTTATTTGCCATCTGTATATATTCCTTAATGAGGTAAAAATCCCTATTAACTTTCTGGCATACAAATTTTAGATATGTTTATACACATCCACTACTGAAGTGTGTCTAAATTATAATTACTTGATCTCCTTTTGTTTTAACAATAGTAAATAAACATTCTTGTATATAAAGACTAGCATTATAACTATCACCAGCACAAGATAAAGGCAGGGATGGTAAGGACACAATATATTTCCCTGTTTTCAAATAGCAAGTCTTCCTTACTGCATATTCTGTTCTACGGAACCCAGAGAAAAATCTCAGAATCCTTCTCAGCACAGGGTTCTTAGAATGCAGTACTTTTCAGTCAGAATTGAATACTACACTATGTTTTCACCTCCAACCTTGAGCCTGAGAGGAGGGGATCAAGCAGCTCCTACTATCAAGCTAAATAACAAGGAAGACAAATCATGAGATACTGTTACGACCTGGCATCTGACACAGGATGTCCTGCCATAGGCACTTGTCCTATTCTCAGCCTGTTCCCTCAACAAAACTGATATATTACTAATGAGAGGTTTTGCTTCTAGACTGATGATCAGTTCATTTAACTCAGTGTGTGGTGGTTGCTTGTACCTGAATTATTCCCCCGAGTCTAATTAGGATGGGTCTAGCAGATATACTTCCCCTCAGAACAAAAGGTCCTTCCAGGTGTCCAAAACATGCCTCTGAAATGGACAACTGAGCTGGGAAGCAGGACTGGCAGTTGGGGGACATGCACTGATTTTCCTCTCCTCTATTTTCTGCCCAGAATCCGATGTTGCTGACTTTGACGGCAGAAGCTCCCTTCTGTACAGGTTCAATCAGAAGCTGCTGAGCACCCTCAAAGATGTGATCTCGCTGAAGTTCAAGAGCATCCAAGGAGATGGGGTTCTGTTCCATGGGGAGGGTCAGCGTGGAGACTACATCACCCTGGAGCTCCAGAAAGGGAGGCTGGCCCTGCACCTCAACCTGGGTAAGGTCAGGCTGTGGGCAGCTCCCTTTTGTAGCAGATCACACTTCCCTGTCCTCCTAGTGTATTGGCTGGAAGTCCTTGGAGCACAGGCCAAGTGATGTATTTCTCTTATCCATGTTGGAGAAAAAAAATACACATTTTGAAATGGTGAAGCCATATATAGTATTATTTAAAATGAGACTATATTGGTAGGTAAGAAGAGATACAAGCTAATTGCTGGGGTTTAGTTTGCTGGTTATTTATTTAATTATTATCTATCTACCTTTTAATCTGTTAATGTCTTTTTAAAGTAATTGAGCAAGTTTAAAATCACACACTGACCCATGCGCACAGTATAATGAGGCATGCACACAGTCCATTCCATTCAGTATGTTTATGAAAGTTAAGCTCCAGGAGTGAAAAAAAATAGAGAGGAACATTTTAATTCTTTATTGCTTTTTAGAGGGGAGAAGGGTGTCCTGTGTATGAGGAAAGTCTAAGTTGCTGGCCATTCCTGTGTCTTGCTGAGGGACATACAGCTTTATTTGGGTGTCTCGGCTGTGCCAGGGTGAGCTGTAGGCTTGCCAAATGCCAGCTGCTTTTGTACAGCACACCCCACCTTCACGTTTAGGAGGAGGGCTTCTCACCAGGGGTGGGCTTCTGTCACGGCCTGCCTCACCTCCGGCAGATCTACATTCCACTGCAGCCAACCTCCTGTCCCAGAGGAAGAGGCTCACCCTCCTGTATATGGTCAAAGGCACTTTGAAAGGAAGGGTGTGCCAATTGCAGAAGGCAGGGAGCAGAGTTCCAGAAGATGCAAAGGCAAGTCAAAAAGAAATCAGATGAAGAGCCAGGTGGAAGAAAAAGGAAGTGACCATTTTGTAGGAGAACGACTCCCTGCCTCCCATGAGATAATCGTTTGTATTAAGGAAAGGGGTGGGCATTATACCTGTGAAAGGGGATTATCAGCAAGTATGCACTCTCAGATAGTAAAGGAGGAAGTCATAGCAGAATTTAGTATGTAAGTTCAAGTTGCACGGAAGACGAAAAAAATCACAGATAAATACATTTTAGCAATTAGCAGGAGAGACATGGGAACAAAGATTAGTTCGGACTCACCCAAAAGCCAAACAGTGTAGGTCTTTATCATGAAGGATTTCTGAGTATCTTCTTAGCCTTGTGAATATTGGCAGGGGTACCAAGGAGAACGTCAACAATCCTCAATGTAACTCATAAAATTGCCACCTAATGCATTAGATTAACTATACACCAAAGACATTTCTACAAGCAGAGTCTTAGAAGAATGCAGCAAGAGGATTTGGTGGTAACGTAATTGCTTGTAGTTCAGCAATTTATCGATGAATTACCTGAAGGGCCGACATACTAATATTCAGCAGAAATGCATTGGTTCATTAACTGGCCCTCAATTTCCAGGGAAGAAGTATGAGCAAATGAAGTGGAGCCCCCCCTCCCCCAAGTACACGTGGCTTAGAGAGCACTGTGGGCTGTGGGTGAAGTTACTATCACTTGCCAATATAGCAGGTATCTTCTACTGGGAATATTAAGTCTACCAATTACTGCTATTCAGATTCCCAGTTCCTATAAGCCATTCATTCTCTACAGCTTTGTTTTCTCAGCGTAGCGTGATGGAAAGGAATAGGTGTGGTCATGCAGCAGATTTCATTGTAACTGCAGACGTGTTGGCTATATATTATGGGGAAAGTTGCATAACCTACTAGTCTTTTTTACTTATTTTTAATCTGGGCTAATAATAACTATCTTGCAGAGCATGGACATAAAAACCCAAAAATACTATAGATGAATAATTTATGTCAGCAAGTAAACATAGGGCAGTGTCAAGAACAGAAGTTCCTAATATTCATCTATTCAGTAAATATTTGAATGCCCCACGCCCTGTGCTACACCAGTTTTCCTGAAAAGAAATGGGTATATTAAGGCAAATAGGACCTGCTCCTTGTGGTGATCCATAGGAGACAAAGGAAGTCTTTTTTCCCTCCAGATTCCATCTTCCCTACATCTCTAGCCATGGTGGTGACAATGTAAAACCTCATTTAGTAAATGATTCAGTAGTAAGAACAAATTCTGTCTGTATTTTTCATAGTTTGGGAATGCCTTCATCTTTTTATCTGCCCATGGATTCCCCCATTTCCATCAGTCTCCATGGCTGAGTGTTTCCTGTACTTATGAGGTTAGGCAGTCACCTAGGATAGTGGTTTAGTAGCTCCTTCTCTAGAGAGACAGGGCTGTATGTCAGTACTTTACCTCTTCACGTCTCAGTTTTAGCCAGCAGATCCCTGAGAGCATTAACTTAGAGGAAACTGCTTTGAATTGTCCTTAATAAAAATTCTGTAATGCAGGTTCCAGGAAGGCAATATAACACTTTGTTTATTGCCGCAGCTCCAGAACCTAGAGGGCACCTACCTGAGATAGGCACATGAGGCAAATGGAGTCCATTGGAAAAAGGGGTTTTCATTTCAAACATCAGGACCTGACACAAATACACACTGTTCCCACTGGACTTGCTCACCGCCAAGTCTATGCTCCTAACTTCCTCCGGAGCTATTCTCTCCCTACAACTCTCCCTGATGTTGCAGAACATCCACAGTGTGCTGGAATCCTAACCAATCCTCAGAGCAGTCCTCGTAGTAAGTAAACATTAGCCTCAGTTCACTCATGTGGAATATTGAGCTCAAAGAGGATAAATAACTAGTTTATTTTGCACAGTTAGTTATTAGGTTAAACTACTATTAATATCGAGTTATATCTAACCAGGTTTTCTTTACTATTATTTTAAGATTATAAAATATGCCAATGGTACATCTGATAAGGAGTTAATATCCAAAATTTTTACAACTCAACACCAAAAACCTCAAAAAAATCCAATTAAAAAATGGGCAGAAGACCTGAATAGACACTTCTCCAAAGAGGACATACAGATGTCCAAGAGACATAAAAAGATGCTCAACATCAATAATCATCAGAGAGATGCAAATTAAAACTATAATGAGATATCATTTCGCACCTTCCAGAATGGCTGCCATCAATAAATCAACAAACAACACCTGGAGAAAACACCCTTGTGCACTGTTGGTGGGAATGCAGACTGACGCAACCACTATGGGAAAGAGTATGAAGGGTCCTCAAAAAATGCTGCCTTATGACCCAGCATTTCCATGTCTGGGTATATTTCCAAGGAAACCCAAAACATTGCTTTAAAAAATATATGCACCCCTATGTTCATTGCAGCATAATTTACAGCAGCCAAGAAACGGAAGCAACCCAAGAGCTCATTAATAGACAAGTGGATAAAAAAGCCTTGGTACATAAAAGAGAATGAAGTCTTACCATTGGTGACAGCATGAATGGCCTTAGAAGGTATTATACTTACTGAAATAAGTTGGTCAGAAAAGGACAAATACCATGTGATTTCACGTATGTGTGGAACCTAAAGAACACAATAAGTTAACCAACAAAATTGGAACAGACTCAGAGACAGAGACCAGACTGAACTTTGCAAGAGATGGTGTTTGGGAGACTAGGTAAGAAAGTTTAAGGAATTAAGGAATAGAAATTGGTAGTTACAAAATAGTACAGCATAGGGAACATGGTCAATAATATTGTAATAACTACTTATGATGCCAGGTGGGTACTGGAAATATTGGAGGGAACACTTTGTAATGTATATGATTAAAAAAAGATTATAAAATACGTGTCAGTTTTAGAAAAACTAAAGAAGAAAAAACAATTATAACAAAGTGAAGAAAAACATCACTTGAAATCCTATCACCCAGTCATGTCACCTATTAAAACTTGGGTATAGATTCAAGTGTGTTTCTTAGTTATTTACATGATTTTAAAAAACATATTAGGTAATATTTATGTTCCTTTCAAAGTGGGAATAATTCATAGCATCCATAATCATATTTATGTATTTATTTTTTGAGAACTGAAGAGAGGGGGGCGTAGGGGAGAGGGTAGGAAAGAGAAGGAGGGAGGAAGGAAGAATCCAGGTGGACCGGCTGCATAATCACACTGGGCCAACGGGGAGGGTGGTTTTCCCTCCAGCTCATGTGGACGCTCCAGCAGAGTTTCCTTTAGTGACAGGTCTCCAGAGTGAGTTCCTTATCTAGCCTCTGTCTTTATAATTTAGACATTGGATACGGTGGAGGGTTTGGTACCATTACAGGATGCTGAGGGTGGTCCTTGAGGACAGATAGGCTGTGGTTCTCTCCTTGTGACTCCTTTGCCCACCATCTGACTCATGTTACCTACTTACCACTGCCATGACTGACTTGGATGGGTCAGTTCTGTGGTAAAATTGAGCTAGGTGGACCCCCTCTGATTACTTTCTAGGGAAGAAAAGTGATTTTTCTATAGCTATGAATAAGCAGGAGATTTCTTCTCTCAGTCCGTAAGGAGATTATAGAGATTCCTCTCCTCAGTTTGTGTGCATCACTCAGGTCACCTGTGGCAATGCACCCTCCTTACATTCATGGCAGCACAAACGCTCACGTACAGGAGGGGATCAAAGAGCAGCAGCATTACCTGACCTGGAACTGCTGTAAGAACTGAGCAAAACATCAATAGAACATGCGGGTCACTCATCCTTACTAGAGCTCGGTGCCTTTGAGCTGAAGCAGAGGTCTGCGGATCTGCAGGAGGTACAGGGGAAGCAAAGTGAGAATCCTGGAATAGCAGAAACAAGCACATGCAATCAGGGTGTCTGGGGCCAACCATAGGATTTACAGGTGAAAGCCCCTGAATGCATGACAACCCATTAAGATATCTTGAGGTATCAGTGAAGGCTCTGAACATTCTCCAAAGAGTCAAATGGACATTTACTTTACCTCTTTTAAAATTCAGGCATTTTAATATGCCAACCGCGTGTACTTATACAATAAGTATATTAAGTACTCTGGAATAATTTTTAAAAGGTGCTGGTTTTTGCCCAGCCAGGCATGGCCCACTGGTTGAACATCAACCTAGGATCCAGGAGATCC